AGCTATTTTGCTGCAGATTCTTGTTGGATTCGGGACAAAGGAGCTTTAAGGTATGACCTGCTCTAGGGAGAGGATGTTTAGGTGCTGCCTGCTTTCCTTGTCCCTAGTTATATTTGCAGCTTTTTGAGGGGATAACAGACCTGCAGAATAGATGGAGACAAAGGAAAATCCTAGGGGGAGAAAAGGTTTCTAGTAGCACTACAGTAAAACTGTCCTTCCCCCCTTTAATTAGACTTGGGGGAGATGAAGATAAAGATTTTCACCCCCTAAAGTGAGGCAGTAAAGGCAGCATTCCCTCAATGTATTTGCCATTATTTTTCCTCCTTTCTTTCCAAAAGCTGGTGGGTTTTAGATGCAATAAAAAGTAAAATGTAGCCAAAAGGATTTGCCTTTGTACTCTTGAATATGAAGCGATTTGTCACAAGTCACAGGAAAATGTCTTTCAGGTCAGAAGGCTGGCACATACAACTGCAAAGTAGTAGTGATGAACACAAAATTACCCAGGATGAATGTCCAGTGATGCCAACATTTTGTTATCTTGTAGTAGGGCTGATTAGGAAGGATAACGGAGGCTTGTGGGAAGCTTGGAGCCGTTTGGATGCATGGAGGGATGGCCAGAAGAGAAAGTAAGATCTTTGCAGGAGGCTTTTGGGCTGCATGGACATGTGGGAAGTGCCAGGGATCCCCAGGAGCTGCTTATTTGGGAATTGGGAGTAGAAAACGTGATGTGATCGGAGAGAGACAGCCCCCTCGTGAAGAAAACCAAAAATGGATATTTAAAACCACCTGAACTGCTGGTTTAGACAGTGTAAGTCCCCCTAAACACACCATGAGGGGGGCTGCTATGTGCTCCCCATAGACCCACGACTCTTTTGGCGTGTGAAATACTTTGTTTTACCTCTTTGTGCTGCAAAATGATGCCCAATTAGCTGTGGAGAGGGGCCGTGTTTGAGAATAGCTAATGCTCAGCCGTGCTCTGCATAATGCCCTGGGTGGAAGAGCAATAAATGTGGGGATTTAAGCAGAATATAGACAGCTAATTATCTCCAAAGTTAAACGTTCGGTCCATTCTTCCTCAAAATAACAAAAATGAGCAAATACTTGGTGGGAAAAATGTGTAATATTAAGAAACTAATAGTCTTTTGGTCCTAAATTGGGTCTTTTTTATTGCAGAGTTTTACAATCCTTTATCCAGTAATGTAAAGGAAAAAGAAGCTGTTTTATGTGCATGTGGATTTCAGGGATTGATATTAGGCTTTGGGAGACCCGTGTGACGGGTAGGCCCTGCACGAGTCTCCCGTCCTCCCCTCCGGATTCAGCTGGATGCCCAAAATTTGGGGTGTTTTGCGTGTTTATGTGCAATGAACATCCGAAACAGGCTTCTCTAAATGTGGCCAAGGAAAGAGAAAAGGCACTCCTGAATTTCTAGGATCATTTTTACCTTTTTCCCCTCTTTTTTTGGTATAAAACTAGAGTGGCTTCTTGCGTGGGTGCCGGTGTTGTAGGTACCACCCTCGGTGCCCCGGGGCCTCGCAGGCAGGATCTCTATTTGCAAATGATTATAAATTACAAATAGAGCGGTTTCTTCCCCCAAACGCTATTGTGTGAGCTCAGGGAGCCCCGTTCTTAACGTGCTTGAGCAACAAGATGGAAATAGCTGCGTAAGGGGCTACTTAACTCGAAAGCCAATTAGCCAGCTGCTCACGGGCATCGGAAATCGCCGTGGCCGCGGTGATGCGGGATGTTCCTTGCCTGAAATCCCAGAGCGATGGTGCTAAAAACCCTCCCGAGAAGCAGGGGGGATTTTCAGACCTTCAGATTTCCCAGCAAAACCAAAATCTTCTGCAGACTGAGAGAAAATCCCAGCAAAATTCCCGCTGTTCACCTGATTTTCCTTCGAGTAGAGAGTTACTGGTTTCTCTAAGGTTGCAAAAATCCCAGTTTAGAGCCTTTTCTGGGCTGTTCTCTGCGGGTTGGTGATTTTCAGATCCCTTCTGTTTTTGATTTGGAGTCTGTGCAATTTTGCACGTTTTTTTCTTCTTCCTTAAATAGAATCTGTCGATATTTGCACTTTTCACAGAAACGTGCATTTCCAGCGTAACTTGAACAAAACTGTCGGCACCGAAACGGCAGCTCTAGGAAGAGGCTGGTGGCTGAGGCGGGCAGAAGGAGCTGGTTTCTGGGGTGTTCTTATTCCTGCATCAATTCTATTATAATTGTAATATTTTAGCCCTGCAGATGGGTTTCTTAACATTTCTCTACTGATTTTTTTTTTCCCTTGGCTTTATTGCTTTGAGTGAAGTATAGGGTACATTATGTAAGACTTATTGCCCTTATCTGAAAGCGCTCCCCATCCCCAGCAAGTTCATTTCATTCACTTGAACTCGCCCTAACCTCTGTATTTTCCTAGTCCTGGAATTTCCAGGTCTGTTGCAGGAAACCTCGTTTTTTTACAGCTTTCTTGCACTGATCTATTTAAGATTGTTCTGCTCATGCTGCAGCTGTGAGAAGGATCCCCAGTTAAACGGAGGTCATGCAACTTTCTGAGCTTTTCCTCTGAGAAACCAGAGTTGCTTCTGACTGTCTGGCTCTGTTTTTATCACAGGAAATATCAGGTGAAATTGCAGCATTAATTCCATTATCAAGGAGTCGAGATTTGCTGTTATACCCTCATCAGAGCTTGTTTTCCTTCAGTCTCCTCTTATCACTCCTGTGCATTTCAGATCTAGCCCTGGCCTTGCCAAGGAGCAATTCAGACCTCTTTGGATGGCCTTTTTTTTTTTTTTTTTCTCCCCATAAGACTTAATTACTCCTCATTTCCCTCATTTGCTGTGCGTTTTATGGATGCCAAGGTTAAGTATTTTTAAAGCACGTAGAGATTTTTCGGATAATTTCCTTTCTAAACCTCACTTGAATGAGGTGCCCCTTTATTTAATTTTTAGGGATTTACCCCCAGAGAGGATTTTTAAGCCGGTCTTTGTCGCACGGCTGAAGTTAGAGGCAACTCAAGGGAATGGTCACAAATTATCACGGCTGCCGTTGCAGCTTTGTTAGTACCTGCACGTCCCCCTGCTCCCCTCTGGATTAAGAAAAGATTTTCTGCATTTAAGAAATGAAATTGAGGATGCCAAAGCACATGTTATTATTATTATTATTGTAATATTTGTGTTAGCTAAACGCGGTGCGCAGCCGGCGCCGTGCGCGAGCGCTCTCCTCCTCCGAGCAGCCGGGTGTTCATCCCGCGATCCCGGCGGCGCGGATCCGCGTTAACCCTTCGCGAAACCCTCCGGCTTCTCCGGGCACCCCGGGCGTCTCGGAACACCATTCCCAACAGCACAACCTTTTGTTGTTGTTGTTTTTTTAGGTGTTTTCACAATTGAAGAGCGTTAATGCTGAGAGCAGCTGGTGGCAGCGCATGAGTTTGTACCTACCTCTCATCTCAGGACTATTTGCAGGTAAAGAATTATTTTTGCATCATCTTTTGGAAATCAATTGAGTATTGAGAGTATTAACTCGGGCTCAGCTCTTCAGTCTGTCTCCTGCTTAGATTATTTGGATTACTGCTTAGAAATAAGTTTTGAACTCCTGTGTAGCTAAGAAAGGGAAACGCTAATAATAGGAAATGTCTGTTTTTAAGTCAAAATACACTTGTTAGGGTTGTGTTAGGGAGCTGCTGGGCAGTGTTGCCTGGGATTTTATTGCATTATATTGCTGCATTCCTCCGACTTGTAAATCAAATCCTGGGAATCTCGCTGAAAAAGCCCTGATCAGGGTGGAGGGGAGCAGTTTCTAATTGTTTGTCCAGCAAATTGGATGTGCATTTCTTTCTAAATGTACATGAGCGCATGGGGTTCACTAGGAAGGGAAGCAGAGTGCAGCTATTGCTCAGATGTACTTTGTGCCTCTTCCACGCTCGTTTTACACGTGGAAATCGCCCATTTGTGTGTGTGTTTTCCCACCCCGTTACAAATCCGGCTCTGAAACGAGGGCCGGATCCTTCCCGGGAGCCGGAGCGGTCGCCGTGGTGGGGAGGGCCCCATTGTTTCCTCCCGCGGTGGCTCCTGTTGTTCTTTGTTTAACCTGTCACCCCGCTAGATGCGGTGGCTGCCGTCCCCTCTCGACGGCCGCCTGTACCCGGAACGCCGCGAGCGCAGGGAAAACACCCGGCTCTAACGTTCCCACCGCCGGAGAGAGGTTCGTATCTCGTTCTGCTGGGCTAAACAAAGGAAGTTTTTACAATTTCCCAGGGTTTGGCAGCAAAATGAGTGGTGTTTTCTCTAGGGTGCCCTGCGTGTGAACACCCAGGAGACCCGAGAGCTCCCGGGGTGACAAATGCTGTGCCCTGGAGCAGGGAGCCGCTCTTGGGCCGCCCTGTGTGATAACTCTGGCCTTAGTAAATGCTGGTACTTGTTTAAATGTGGTTTTTATGACGGTTATAAACCTCCCTAGCCCTGATGCTTGCATGCTTAAGTTAGGATGTCTTACAAGTGCTGCAGTAGCTTGGAATTAAGCCTGTTGAAACCACAAATTCTTGAGGGATCTTGCCACTTTATATTCAATATTGCTTTTTTTTCTGGCTAGTTGTTCTGCAATGCCTTTAAACAAAATACAAATTTTACACTCGAGCACAAGTGAATTGTCCGTGCTGAGCTGAGGGGCCCAGTGCAGCAGCAAGCTTTTCCTTTCCTTTCTTTTCTTGTTGTTTTCAGCTTTAGAACTGGAAAAGCCCAACGCTGACTGCTGCAGTCGGGCTTCATGACAAGAAGCTGCCGTTCAGAGGAAGAAGCTCGAGGGCTCTGCTGCTTTCTCAGCCCCGTTCTGACACATCCAGACCCTCTTTGCGCTCTCAGCTGGGATTTTGCCCTCCCCAAACAGATATTTGCCCTTTCCTGCATTGATAGAAGACAGTACAAGTTGAGATTTACAACTGCCAGCTACAGCATTCAAGGACCAGGACCCCTTTTCCCCCCTTCTGTAGAGCTGAGCATTGGAGCAAACGTACCGAGATGTCTAAAAAGCAAAATCCAAAAGGTAAGATGCAAGTGTGGTGTCGTCAAATGTCAATAGACAACGTTATTGATTCCAAAGTTATCAATTAAGAAAGGGGTTAATTGCTTTTGCTGTACTCCTCGCAGGTTTGCTAATGTCACTCGGCTGCTCGCTGTCACCCTCCTAGTGAGGTTGTCTGACTGTTGGGCATCGGAACGTTTTTAGTACCATTTCAGTTGCCTAGCCTGGTGCTTCCAAATTAATATATCATTAATTTTGCATCTCTCCCGGTCGGACTTCTGGGGGGTGGAAAAAAAAACGCTCCAATTTTTAGTAGTTGAGTTTTGGGCGATAAATTCGTTTAACTCAGTTTAGGAAACCAAACCCCGAGTCAGGGCTGGACGGCTCAGCTGCGTCCTCCTCCCTCGGGGCTGCCATGCAAAGTGGGCTAATTTAAACCCTCTAAACCAGCTACAGAGAGCAACAAGCCGAACTTAGCAAGAAGCTTCTTCCCTTGCTTAGTCTTCAGATATTCAGTACAGTTTTATTTGCTATTCTGTATAAATTATTTTGTTTTTTTGTCACCTGAGAGGTGTTCAGTGACAAAGCTCGTGGTGAATTAAGGAGCTTCTTTCAGTGAGGGATCTCCCTCGCCGCGTGCAGAACATTAATTCCAAAGTGTGCGTGTGGTCTGGGGAAGACGGGATTGACAGCTATGGTTTTCTTTTTTCACTTGAACTAACTACTAATTAATAATTTAACACGAATGGCTTTGACAATCCGTGCCCTCTGCCTAAGGAGAAGAGCTTTTGTTCTCGGTAGGTTTTTCTTTTCTTCCCTAGCAGCTTTGGCACAGAAACAGTGTCTACCTGCAGGATCCAGCTCTCCTTTGACAGCCAAATCCATACGTGATCCGCAGCAATTAGTAACCCTTAAGCAAGTGATCGTATGTGCTGATTTTTGAATGAATGTGTTGGAATGCTGTGTTTATAGCTGTGTGGGGAAACCTGCCTGCAGAGCCGTTAAGCGCTTGCCCCCTGCGCAAGCCTGTTGTAGCTGCAGAAATGTGGGGAGCAAAACACACCTGGAAGCTGCGGGAATTGCCATGGCCGCATGGAGGGATCTGTGGGAGAAGCCGCACGCGGAGCCGGTACCGTGGGGGAAATCCTGGCTCTTTTTCCTGCCACAGCCGCTGTTCTTGGTGGTGTTTGGAGCAGGCTGCCCAACTGGGAATCCGTTGGGAGGTGCTGGCATCTGCTGAATCCCTGAGGAAAAGTCAAGGGATCGTGGGCACAAATATTGGCGCCGAGCAGGAGCGCAGCGGAAACTCGAGTCGCTGCTGCATGGATGGGGGCACCGAATCCACCCGGCTCCGTGGAGCAGCCTCGGCACCGCGCACCGGAGCGGATGTGCTGGGAAGGTCGGAGCCGAATCCGGCGCTCCCGATGGGGTCCTGTGGCTGCTTTCCCCCTTGCTGCTTTTCCAGCGTTCTGGAATGTTAGTGTAGTCAGCAAATACTCCCCAGGCCTTTGCAAAGGGAGGCTCCTCGGCCAGGTGAGGGGGGTTTCAGCCTTCCCAAGGAGATTTTCCAGTCTTTTGGAAGTGCCTGTGCAAAGTTTGAGCACGGAATCGCACTGTGCCCCTCGATACTACTGTTACGTGGAGCTTTTTACTCCAAAGCTTTATGCAAAGGAGCAAGAAGTTAAATCTCATTAAAAATTAAATCAAATTAGAAGGTAAATTTGGGCTTGCAAATAAGCTCGTGTGGAGGATGAGGAGGGAGAGCAGGAAAATTAACTTTTCCTTTGCCAAGCAGCAGCCATCCGGCTTCCACGGATCAGGCATCCGGGTGGATTTGCTTGCTCAGCTCGGGAAGAATTCCTTGGATTGCAATCGCATCTGTTGCCCACATGGTCTCTCCCTATCTATCGCCCACTAACTTTATTCTTAATTAAATTCTAATTAACGGACAGCTTTCTTAGGTGAGATTTTGGCTGAAAAGATTGCATTCCTATTGCGTGCTTGAAATCTTTTTGAGGAAAATAAGCCAGGAAGAGGCACTTCTTGTCTAGACAAGACCCTTCCAGGAGCTGCTGCCCTCCTGGTGTCTTTGTGGTGCTGTAATCTCTCCGTCCTGTCTTTGGGGCATTCAAATTGTTTCCACAGCAGCAGATTGAGGCACCAAACCCTGTTTTTTTTGTATGTGCTGAAGCCGCAAGTAGGTTCTTAATAGACCCAATTTGTGCAATTTCTGGCCATGCTTAACCCATTTGGTCCTGCTCGTGTTTCTGCTGGTTTTGGAGGAAGAGGAGGGCACAGAGAGCAGGTTGTATTGACAGTGGAGACTCTAGGAATATTGATTCTAATCCCAGTTTAGTTTTTACTTGCTTTATCCCAGCTCAGTGTGGAAGCATTACTGTAAATACAACAAGGGAGAATAATGATATTTTAGCTGCTTTACTTTGTCCCAGGAAGATACATTAATTCCTGTCCAGTCCCCTCTGTGTAGTGGACATCTAGTTATTCTTAATGATATAGAAACAGGTGAAGATTCTTGTAATTAGAGCAAATTTGAGATGCTCTTTGCGGGCAGTGAGGTGCCACTTCTTTAAGAGCTCTTTATTCCACATTAGCTGAGGTTTTCTGCGCTATCCCTGGGAGAGTCAAAGCAGTTACCATTGACCTGAAAAGCCACAGAGTCTATAAATGTTTCACCGTTTAACCGAATCTTTATTGCATTGAATTTTAAGTATATATATGCTGCCCAAATCCCCAAAGTCATTTGCTTGCTCATGTCCTGACTGGCTGGGGGGAGGCATCCGGCATCCGTTTGGAGTGAGATTTTTACACCTACGGCAACCGAATCCAGCTGGACCTCCGGGTGCAGCCCGTCTTCCATAAAACATTTGGACCAAAGTCCCTGCTGTCATCGAGCTGCTGCAGGAGCTCCTGGTGCTCTGATTTTTCCGTGTCTCCCCTTTGGAAAAGGCTGCGCTTTGCCCAGGACGGCGGTTGGGTTTGCTTGCTAAAGGAGACTTCCCAAGCTGGAAGTGTCCCCTGCCTGAATGCCACGTTATCTAAGGATTTCCGCAGTATTTTCCTGATGACACAGAGTAGGTAATTAATTAATTGTGGACGGTCACTGCAAACATCTGCTGAGATGAGCTGGGTTGGAAGGAATGAAAGGAAAAGAGTTGGCCTGGAGTCAGGTCGGCTTGACGTGGGGACGCGCACAGGGACTCCCATTCCAGCTGTTTAGGTGTCGAGTGCGAAGGTGTTTTCCTTTTGTGCTTCCCGGGAAGCAGAACCGTGTTTGTTAGCTCCATAGGGGCAATTCCTATGGAGTGGAAAGGGATAATCCGCAGAGCTGGTGAAGAGCAGCCTGGAGCGGCCGAGCAGCAGGACCTTCTGGTGGGTGAGTCCTGCTATTTCCAGGATTTCTGTTCAGGAGAACCTGTATGAATCAATACAATAAACAGGACTCAAAGCACCAAGGTAAGTGATTTGTGATGGATGGTTTCGTGCTGTCCTGTTTTTCTGGAGGAGATGGGTATGAACGGAGAAGCAGTTAATGCAACTGATGTCCCTGGAGCTGATCGCTTCGGATGCCCAGGATGGCACCGCGTGCCGCTGGTTTTGATTGCACCGCGATCGGCCCGAGCTGGTCCGAGATGCCCCATGGCCTCGTTTACACAAGGCCTCGTTCAGGGCATCCTCCTTTCCCACCGAGATGCCCATTCCCCAAGCGGGAAGTGGTCGGTGGGAGTCGGGAGCCTGTCGAGGAGGCCACGAGTGTTTTAAATTCCGTCCCTTCCTGCAAGTGGCCTCTGCTCCGAGCGCCGGCGCTCGTGCCTGGTTCTTGCACCTGAAACGGTTCGGCACCAGGAGGGCCTGGGCCCTGGAAAAGCACCTGGAAGCAGGAGAGGCAGCTCCGAGTGCAGACGGAAGAGCTCAGCCCCCTGCAAGAGCAAGCGCAGGGCGCTGCGTGGAAGGAATGGGATTGAGTGGCCGGCAGTGGCTCCGGAGGGAGCTGAGCTTCATCTTCGCTGGCACTTCAGCCCCCGGGGGCTGCTCTGCAATGAGGATTTTGCCAAAAAAGCTGCTAGTTCTCCCCCGTGATGCGAGCCTGAAAGCCATTTACAAGATTAAAGACTAGAAAGTGGGCGACGAACTTCGGGGAGCTCTGGAAAGCGGTGGAAATCTCACTCCTGGGGTGAGGATGGAGCGAGGAAGGATTGAAGTGCTCGGCTGCGGCCTCGCTGAGAGCCTGACCTTTCCATCATGTTCACAGTCCTGTCACTGCGTTTGGAGGCATCGCGGTTTAAATGCTACATCAATGTCTGCGGGCGGGGGAGGTCGATGGCGTGGCTCGAAATAGAGTTATTTAGGCCAGGGGGAGGACACGAGAGCGGCCGCCGGCGCCCCAAACACGCCGGTGCCC